AATTTCGACATCAATAACAACATTCGATCGCCAAAGTTTGTCTTTCAATGTCGGAATTTTCAATAACCAATCAATTGAAATATGTGACCCTTCTGTCCCTCTAGCTATACCCATAGTGAATTGCGTTTGGAAAATGTTTATTTCTTTCTCATGAAAAAACATACTTCAATGTTTTATCGTATCATATTTTAATTCATAAACCTTTCTCTCGTAACTCCAGGCACTATGAATAAAAAACATCTGGATTTCCAGATAGTAGAGTCGTATTAGAGTAAAGTCCATAAAATGGAAACATTTTTTCAAGATCACATGAAAAGTGAATTATAATTTTTTCCAATGAGAAGTATCTTCAATTCATATTTCCATCTTTCCATTACTTGTTAATTACATTACAGTTAAAATATGGACTTACCGATTATCCGTAACCTTTATGGTCACAAGCGGTTGTAATTATCCGAAAAAACCAACAAATTCGCTAAAATTTTCGAACAATTACATTTATAGCGGTTTTTTCTTATCTCATTCTTATCTTCTTGGTATTGAAAATTCAACATGTTTCAATATTTTATGTGTTTTATCTCATTAGCTGCTGATATGCAGTGAATGTGGCTCGCAAAATTGTCCAAAAAGGTGTGCTACATGTTATTATTAGTGAAAAATATTTTAACATGTGGGAATGAAACATTTAAAGAAAATGTATTTTTATCGTAGCAGAACTGTAGCAACTCTGTTCTAGATTTAGACTACCTGGGTTCAGACTAAAAAATCCTTGCTTCAGAAGATGAATAAGAGAAAGGTGATAGGCAACCAATTTCAGAACAAGTTGCCAACAGATCTCAGCAATTAGCTCAATAACACATTGACGATGAAGAGCTGGCAAAAATTCAATATTCACTAAAAGGCTCTATTCCATCAAGGTTCTAACAAACATATTTCGTCAACAAGTTCGTCAATAGACATAATTTTTGTGGGTTGGAAGCGACAGCAAGAGAGAGTTTTACAATCATTGGGTAGTACTTACAGGACTCCTAATTCAACCTTACATGACTTCTTTCAAACAGGGATGGTAGGTTCTTCGAATTAATCGAAAAGAAATGGAATAATGGCACAATCGTAGAAAACATTCTCATTCGTTCTCAAACAAAAGGTTACAGTATGATTCTTTAAACTACCCATTCAAAAACGGGTGCAAGGTGTTACCAATACAGAACTGAGCATTCATTTCCACCACATTATCAACGTCAAATGGAAAACGAACGACTGATTCAAAATGTTCAAGAGGCAAAAATCTAGTAAAAGTGATCAGATGAAATTTTCAGAAAATATTATATCAAATTAGTTGTAATAGCAATAAGTGATTTCATTTGATTTTCATCTCATGTTCATTCCTCATTTACTATTCTTGAACAATTTATATTTCTGGTTTGTTCAACTCGCCCCCCCCCTCTTCGAGAAAATAGAAATCGTTGATTACGCTAATAATGGATCAAAATCACTGAAATCTAATACCAACACCAAACCATTATTTTCAACACCTTGAGACGTGTTTCAATCACCAAGTGATCATCTTCAAGGGGAAGATTAAACTTTCTCAGTTCAATCACCAAGTGAGCATCTTCAAGAGGAAGATTGAACTGAGGAAGTGGTGATGGAACTGGTGATTGAAACACGTGTCGAGGTTTTAAAAATAACAGTTTGGTGTTGGGATTAAACAACAGTAATATTCATTACTACACCAAAGGTTACAAACAGTGCATCACAAGTTAATAATGAATTAGCAATGCGTTACTTCATGGACACTATATACTTATTATACATTTGGTTTGATTTTTAGTAGAAAGTATTTTAGTATATTTCATTATAGCCGATTAACTAAGATTTATTTGCTTTCATTGTACAGTTTTCATTATATTTGACTATATTCTCATATTTTGGGTATATATATACAAAAGGGCGCGTTTACATGTGAAAATTACCTTTTTATCACTATTTCTCAGGACCACTATATTCTCGGAGGCTGAATTTTTTTATGTCGGTTCACTTTATGTTGTTGATATGCAATAAGAAAGGATATTTAAATATTTGACAGGGGCGCCAGCCTCTATAAAAAAAATGCCCGTCCATAAAACAAAATAAAACAATATTATCTAATTGAATGAAACTGGACGATACTTGATGAAAATCCATATTAAAAAACTAATCAATACAGTTTATTGTATGATT